TACACACACAGCTATAACAAAACACCCACAAAATGATAAATCATCCATAAAAGTAATAAATTTTTAGTTATAAAATGACCAATAAAAATTATAAAAACATCTATAAAGTAGTAAAAATTAGAGGCACGATACCAAAATTATTACTTTGGTACCGTAGTCAATTCCCACAGTTCGACGCTATCATCTCATTAATATTTCATCCATAAGGTCACATTCTTAACCTTATTTCACATTTAAAAATAAGGTTATGTGATACTGTGTATAAGAGAACAAAATTTTAATAAAAAAAATCGTATCTCACGCATTATACATCTCTATCAACAATTGGTTGATATGTTGAGCTCTAACAAGCATGTATAAGAAAAATTAATTACACTTTCGCAATCTCGCTTAAGAAAAAAAAATCAATATTAAGGAATAGCACTTACGCAGTTACAACAAAACACCCACAAAAATGGTAAATCATCCATAAAAGTAATAAATTTTTAAGTGATAAAATGTCCTACAAAAGTTATAAAAACAACATTAAAGTAATAAAAATTGGAGGTACAATACTGAAATTATTACTTTGGTACCGTAATCAAGGCCCATAGTTTGATGCTATCATCTCATTAATATTTCATCCATTAGGTCACAACCTTAATTTTATTTCCCATTAAAAAATAATGTTACGTGACACTCTGTATAAGAGAAAAAAAATTTTAATAAAAGAAATCTTATCTCATGGATTATACATCCCTATCAAAAATTGTTTAATATGTTGAGCTTTACCAAGCATGTATAAGAAAAATTAACTACACTTTCGCAAGCTCACTTAAGAAAAAATATTAAATATTAAGGAATAGTACCCAGGCAGCTGCAACAAGATTGTCTCATGGACCCATAGAAATTTGATGCGACCGAATTAGTTTTCATAGAACAATAAGAGAATTAATAAGTATGATCTATTAAAAATATAGACTAACAAAAGCGAGATCTCATATCACTCATCTTTCTTTCAGTAGTTTTAGTGTAAAAGTCTCTCCTCATACGTACATAATGGTTGAATTAAAATTTGAAAAACAAGTGTTATCACACACGACAATGTGATATATAAAAAAAAAAAAAAAAAGCGATGCTGGTGAGCGCTCTCCAGTTGTTTCACCTTATTAATTATAATCTAGAATTTATTGAAGAGTGAAAAAAGAATATAGTCAGAATAGAAACAACTTATTAGTATCATTATTTGGACATTGGGAATGCTTAATAAGTGTAGTACCACCAACTCTGAATGACAATATCAAATAAATTTCTAGATGCTAACCTACTATTCAAAAATTGGTATTTCACATCGAAACATTGAGAATAGGGAATAAGAATTGACATTCTACTAAATTAATGGAAAGATAAAATTAGACTATTACTACAAATAGCTTTTGATTGGTAAATAGTATTAACCTAGGGCTTGTTTGGATGAATTTTGATGTAGGGTTTGGATAGGCTTCTCCAAGCCGTTCTAAACCCAAACCTCTCTTTACAAAGATAGGATTCAACATTTAATCTGGTTCATACCCATGTTTGGTATGCAACACATACATATGCAGGACCCACAGATATATCATAATTATTAATAACTATTTGTCCTATAAATGACTATTTTACATTTGATTAATCAAATTCATACTCATGTTAAGGAGTATAATTATCTTTTACATCCTTAACCCATCTTTCCAAACTCACCCTTTTCCTAGATTTGACGAAACTTATGATCATTACGATCTGATACCTGACATCACTTATCGAAGGAAACAAAGAAGAATGATCGCATCGAACTGTTAGAACTCAATCAGAGAAGACCAACGAAATTTTTTACAACACTTTCTCTCTCTCTCTCCCTCAAATTGATTCTTTTAGTATATATAATGTGAATTTCAATAAATATAAAGTAAAGAATTTATCATTGGAAAAAAGTTTTAAATTTTGGATTAGATGGTATCTGAATCTTTATCCATGTCACCAAAAAAAAATACGAAATTAGTTTTGAGAGAGTGCTGATTTGATTTTTCATACCATGAGGCTATATATGTAAGGAAAAACAATATGTGATTTGATTTGTATTAAAATTTGCAGTTCTATTTTCAATTTTTTTCATATTAATAGAAAAGTTATTCAATTCTAAAACTATTCATACAACAATATGTAAAAATATTAAAATGACATATTTCCTTGATAAAATAACAATTAATCGGGATTATTAATGTTTACTATAAGGATGATCCATTTGTTATTTGTGCTAAACTGTTCATTCAACATTATTATCACAATATAAATTTGAAAAGTCTAATTTAACATAGGTCATATAATTAATGCTTTGTGCAACAATTGCATGCATATAAAGCCAATTGCAATTTGGGTGGATACATGAGAAACAAGAAAATTCAAACCGGCAACGCCCATTGATGATCCTGATCCTTAGGTGTGTACTCTTAAAAATTACTTATAACACACTTTATTTATCTAAATTAACTATTTATTATCACATTTTTAACTACACTTGACCGTTTGGATTCATAAAAACCACCCAATTTCCTTTTTAACCTTATTCAACCACCTATATCTCTCTTCACATAGGTAATTGTTTGTACAAGACATCTAGTTATTGTGAAGGTAGAGAAATGAGTTTGATGTTCACTTTTGAAATACTTATAATACCCCTTCTTTATTCTATGGTGACATTCATAACTCAGTCTTAACTGTCCATAACTACCTGAGCAATGCTTTTCAGATTAGGTTCAATAAAATTTTCCGATAACTTTTTGCTACTCTCTTTCTACTCTCATATCTCTCTCTCTCTCTCTCTCTCTCTCTCTCTTTTGCTCTCTCATTTTTTTTACAGTCCCTCTACTATAACATAGACGAGACACATGGTTAAAGGAACTGACAGCGTTGAAATACACAATTACCTCAAAATATTGACTATATACAGTTAATAGCTAGCATCTTTACAAAGAAAAGTCAACACCCGTCAGTTATAAATATTGCACTATATATTGATCTCATCTTCTGCCTTCTTTGGTACATACGAAGAAGTTTCTCTCTCTCTCTCTCCTAGGTTAGTCTTCTTGGAAGTTCTGCATCTTTAACATGGGGGAAGCTCAAGAACAGTCAGCAAAGATTGCAGGTAAGTAGACCTTTTTCTTTCTAGTAGCAATATTAGTCGGATTAAAGAAAAAAAGCAATAGAAAGGAATGATGGAGCACATAGTTATGATTTGATAAAAATTTCTGTGCATTTAACATACGTGACATTGTTAGATAGCGCACATAATCAATTAGTATTTGTATATTTTCAAGAATTATTATCACTAATTAATTTGTTAGAAAAATCTTTAAAAAATTCCACTTTTTTGCGTCTAATAAGCTGGGATTGTGGTATATTCTCTGGGTGTGCCTACACCCTTGCACTGCCAAGCTGTGACATCACTTACTCAACCAAATTGAGATACCTGATATATTGCTATTTGAATAAGAAGCCGGTGGTACCAAACAAAAATTAACAAAAAAACAGAAGGATAAATTACACTCACACCCCTGACATTTAGTTTTATGACACGGACACTCCTCACATTTCAAAAATTACACTGAGACCCCAATAGTTAGATGGAGCTAACTATCGTAATAAAAAGACTATTTTGCCCCTTTATTTAACACAAACTCAACCTAAACCCCAAGGCCTATCCCTAACCCCCAAACCTTAATCTTCACCATCATCTACACAGTGCTCTCTCTCTCTCTATCTCTCTCTGTCTCACTCAAGGCGAAGAACCAATTCAAAATCATCAGTCTTCTCTCTCTCCCTCACTCCCTCTGTGTGTGTGGGATTTCTTGTACAGGGATGCGGCGAGCACGCCGAGGTCGCGGCCAGTGGTGTTTTCGTGGTGGAAGAAGGTGTCTCTTGTGTCGAATTCAAGACCCATTTCAGTCTGGATTTCGAATTGGCACCTGGGTTTCGATTTGGAAGTGATGTGAGGGATTATGGTGGAAAAAGAAGGGTTTTGCTTTGGGGTTTTTGGGACCTAGGTTTATGGTTTTGCGAAGGAAGGAGTAAGAGGATAAGGGCTTAGGAGTGGTTGGGTGGGCTTTGAATCATGAAACCAAGCTCATCACCATGTTTTTCTCTCTGTGTGTGTGTATATATATATATATTAGGGATAACCCGTGCCTGAAGGCACAGTGCAACTAAAAAAAATCAAACATTGAATTTGAATACGAAATAATGAAACATTGAAAAAAAAATATTGAATTGCTCGTCCACAAATTGCATCAATTGTAATTGGTGCACACCACCCTGACAACAATAAAGAAAGAAAACTTATAAAAGAAGGGAAAAAAAAAAGGAGCAAAGCTCAACAGTAACTGGTGCACACTACCCTAGTAATTGTCCGTGCCTGAAGGCACAATGTAACAATAAAAAAAAATCATTTCAATAGTATGAAAAAAAAATAAGGATCTATGAAAAAGTTGAAATTGATAATGCTGTAATTTTAGTAAATGCCATAGGCAAAGAATGAAGTTTAGTTGATCACCATTGTCACTATGACACAACATAAAGAAAAATAAAAAAAATTACCTAACTAATAACCATTGTCACAACGTCACATGGGGAAAAATCTAACCTATCGCAAAAGCAAAACCAAGTTGTCCCCAAAAAGAGAAAAATCAAAGCCCATTCTCACTGTGTTAAAAATTTATTGCAAGTGTGCTTACAGGCCACGCACTATCTATTAGGAACATGTTAGCCGAGAGAGTTATGAGGATCTAAAACATACTAAAAATAAATGTTGATAAGAATAACTAATAAAATAAAAAAAAATTCCAAATAGTTGAGAATTCTAATCTCGTTATAATGCCTCAAGCCTATACTAAAATAACCAATCCAAAAACTAAAGTACATTTCACCAATAAGCATCCATAAGATGAAATCAATACCCAACAACCCAACTATTTAAGTGATGGGAGCATCTACTCATAAGTTGCTGAATGCATTGAAGAACCATATAAACCTGGAAGCACCTGGAAATTGAAGACTACACATAAAGTGGGTACCAGCTTGCTATGGACAAGTCGTGAAGCTCTAGCATCAGCCTTTGCCTCGAAAATGGTGCTCTTCGTCCATATCTCAATCAAAGAAAAAACAACAAAGACCTCCATAGTTTCAATAATTAACCATTAAATCGAAAAATTATTTCTAAAAAATTAAAGCAATAAGTAACAGACCAATGGTGTAGCAATGACTATCTCATTCCAACGCTCAATGGTGTAGCTACTGATCACTTGATTGTAATCCTAACAAAATACTTTTGCTAGATGAATATCACAGCTCTGGACAAAAGATGTCAGATGGAGCCTACAACATGACCCAAGCCATACCCACCTATTGAAATCCAACTGAATACCAAATAAAGAGTGAAAAGTCAAAAAACAGATAGCCCAACAAAGTGAAAAAAAGAAAAGAAAAAGAAGTGCAGATAATTATGTAACTACTGGATTAATCACCTGCTCTGGCTCCAGAAGCTTAAAGGGCATACACATCTCCATAGGGCTAATATATTGTGGAAATTGTATGTCAGAAGGCAAAATGGAAAATCAAACATGAAAACACTCCAACAATTTTAATAGAGAAAAAATAGAGACCAAAACATACTTGTGAGAATCTGCCCTTCTGTTCTGAAGGCGGAGACGGGTTTGTGAAATCCCTGTGCAAAAGAGGAGGACAAATATGACAGAATTGTCAATGATGAACTATTTAAATGAATGCACAAAGAAACAAGTGAAGTTGGTGAGCCGTATGATGGGCAACTATCTCCTGCGGTTCGGAGAGGACTCAGCTGGTAATTTGTGAAGTAAGAAATGATAAAGCTATCATCCCACCTTGACCTCTCATTACTTGCAATTCATCAAGGCTGGATCACAAAAATTAATGATTTAAGTACTATTCTAGCAGCGTACAATAAAGCAGGAAAAATAAACGTGCATCCAAACAACACCAGAAAAATTAAAGAAGAAAAAGTTTGGAACATACTTTGAAAACTGAATGTCCAGTTAACAACAAACATCATAGATATTACGCCCCTTTAAAGAAGAAGCCAACAATTAAAGTTATTATGAGAAGCCAAACCAGTGAGCAAGCTTCAAAAAAGACCATCAATTCAGCAAAAATTGTGGAATACATTACAAACTTATAGGGGGTAGGTTTGTTGCTTCGAATCTATGAGTGAGGTTGTGCGAAGTGTGTGTGTGTGTGTGAGAGAGAGATTGATAAGGTAACATGGAAAGTTCTGATGCACTATTTGATTGTCTCTTATTTTTTGTCTTTAAGCTGCAATATTCCCAGATGTTAAACTGTAATCTGTATATCTGAGTACTATGAATCAGTCCATAAATAGAAGAAAAACAAAAAAAAAAATGTTTGAATCAGTCCATAAATAGCCAAGCCTCATGAATATACAAAAAGGTTGTGAATGCATACGAATCAGTCCATAAACAGTAAGTACATACATCATAGCCAAGTCAAATTCACCAAGAGAGGGAGAGAGACCAAGAAATATCAAGAAGACGACAAATATAATTGCATACTCACCGCTATGATGTATGAACCACCACAAAACAAATATAACTATGAAAAACACCACTACATGTATCAACCAAAAAAAATACACAGAGAAACAAAAATAACTATGAACACCAGCTGATGTGTGTGTACTGGTTCACATTGTCAAACAAAAATAGCATTCTTTACATTTTACATACATAAATGTGATCGAGAGAGAGAGAGAGTTCTATTCCTTTCTAATTGGGTTCACAGATTGGAGCTCAAATGATAAGTTCCTAATTATCAAAGCAGCACCTGAAACTACAATGATTGCAAATAGGCCAAAAAAAGGCCAACAGCAATCCTAACACCTTTACCTGACTATATCCATTTGGTAAATGAACAAAAAGGTTAGACAAAGCAAAAATGTCAAAAACAGAAACCAAACAAATGCAAATAAATATATGGGTGGATAACTTTTTGTGCTTTCTCAACATATACTATGAAGAGGATCACTGGAGACTTATGTCAAAATAACCTTTTGTGATAACCTTTGAGTGCTCTCTCAGTATTTGCAGTAACTTCCAAATACCGAAATACGTCAAGGCTTATGACTATAAGGTTGTTCTTTGCTTCAACAGTGTCAAATTAACAAACCAATGATGGATGCAATACCACCATGAACCTTCTCACTATTAGTAAGCATATATCCATTCATTCACCACCAGTGAACAACAATGGAGAATGAACAGGGAAAAAAGGAAGTAGGGTGAACAACAATGGGCCCCAATCACAAGCAGTCATAAGTAGGGTGAACCACAATGGGCCTCAATCACAAGCAGTCATAAATATTAAAATCCACATCCCAAATGCCATAAGAAAAAAGGAAAGCTCTTTCAGAACTTTCATCGAACATGTGGTGAGTATGAAACAAAATAGAAACAAAATATAAAACTCAAAGGCATGAAACAAATTCTATCAAGCTGAAACCACCTAAGTATCAGTAATCAACAAAAGTCCACAATAAAAAGGGGGAAACTAAAAAAAACAACAAAATATAGATGATTTCTTTGAAGTAAAAAAAATACCTGAAACCCACTCACTGCTCGAATAAATGGACTCCAACAAAAAAAATCAAAAAAATTGAGGTTCTATGTGAAAGTAAATAAATCAACATATTCTCACCTAAATAAATACTAATTTCACTCGACTTGAATAGTAACTCTTAATACAAATGACCTCATTAAGTCATATTCTCACCTAAATAACTTGAATAGTAACTCTTAGTACAATAACGAAAGTTTTAAGGACTGGAATTATACTGAAATCGAAAATTAGGAAAAAAGAAAATTATTATCTAAAGTTTTAATGACTGGAATTTACATAGAACCAACAAAAAATTTAGAAAGTAAATAAATCAGCATGTTCTAAGCATTGACATAATGATACAATATTAAAATGGCATTTCGTCAACCTTGTTTGTATCGAATGCCAAAATTCTCGTCACACGAACTACATCGCTTTAATACCATGTTTAAGGGCAATCATCCAAAATCATTGGGCCATGATGGGAGAGACTCATCAAAAAAATATATTAGTTTAAGATGTGTTTGTTTTTTTCTCAAAAAGTTAGATTGAGATGTGTTATTATATCAATGTGAAGCAAGATTTAACATCCCCCTAAGATAGTAAATATAGTCAATAGTGAGATTGAAACGAAATGAATGAAATTGAAATGAATAAATTTTTGGAACAAATCATCCTACTATTATGAAATCAAAGCAGGCAAGACCATTGTTGTCCAAAAAATGCAATTACAGGTCCAATTCGAATCAAATCTAAAGTTTCTAACAAATCCACATTGAACCTAATCAAATCGAATTCAAATTCAACCTAACCAAACGACGTTCACAAAATTGAAATTGAACAAAGTCCAAGATGAGTGTATGGGTAAGGGAAATGGTATGTTCTAATTCCCATCCTCCTAAATCCAATAATCCCAATTACTCTTAAATCAATCACAAACTAATTCCAATAATCCTAATCACATACTAATTCCAATAATCCCAATATATATTTGGTAGAAATTAAACATAAAATTTGAATTAAACCTAATCAAATCACATTCAAATTGAACCTAATTAACGAAATTCAAAGTGAACATAATCAAACCAACAGTGTGTGTAATTGTATGTGAGTGTGAGTGTGTGTGCGTGTGTTGGGGGGTAAAAAACCAATAAAATGATTGGAAGAACCATAAAGAAAGCACACTCATAAAGGTCATTTAACTATTATATACATACATTTGTGTTGTTGCCTCAATATCCAACTCTATGTATTTGTTACTCTATGCTACATGTGCCTCCCAATAAAAAAAATTTACTCGATCCAAGTAACAGCAATGAGCCAATAACCCACAATAAGATCGTAGTGCAAATCGACAATAAGAGGCGCACATGTAATACATTGCAAAGGAATCACAAAAATGCATTTGACGGCTTGCTCGAGTACCTAATCTAATTATAAAATTTGCATCACATCCAATCTAGCACAATTACAAAATTCACATTAGATTGAAAAAACCCGTTGACAAAATTCACATTAGATTGACAAAATTAACTTTACAAAATGATACATTACTCACCTGCGAAAGCAATTAACATAACTCACCTGCTAGTCTGAGCGAACAAATCTGATGCCTCTGCCAAGTTATATCTTGGCATCGCTGAAGCGGCAGAGTTCAGTCCTGATGAGCCATTAAGTACTGAATTAATCAACTCTTCATTCAAAACACAGATATTCATGAAATCAAGAAGTGGTTTCAAATTGGAAAAGGCCTATATTGCCTATGGTCGATTTTGTAACAAATTGACAGAACCATGCATAGTAAAAACCAATAAAAGAATTGGAAGAATCATAAAGAAAATACACTCCATATGGATCATTTAACTTCTATATACACTACAATTTGTGTTGTTAGACCATCTATGTACCACTCATTCAACCAACCCAACAATCCACCCCGCACGTACCTATAGAATTGTAGATATTAACATATAAGAATTGCAATACAATCTTAAACATCGAGTGAAAAAAGACACTAAAAAATCAATAATTTTCTTTCAGAAAGGTAATAGAATCAACAATCTATACCTTGAAAAATAATACCATTGTGACTATCAACTCAAAGAACCCTATTGAATAGAAAGAATGTGAAGAAGTTATACTAAAAAGATAATTCTGTGTACTAACAATCTCTATAAAAAAAAATTGTACATATCTAATAATGCTAGTAATTTTTAAAAACCATGTATTCGAAGAAAACACAATACAATATAGGACTCACCATCACGCCAGAGTCCTATCTTACTATAACCCCATTAACCACTACCACAACAATTAGAAGCCATAACTAATCATTATTTGGTAAATTTTGTGAAAACTAATCAATACACAATAGATATAACAAACAAACAAACAAACTTGGAAAATTAATGAAACCACTCACTCTTTAATATTTTATAACGACCACACACTAATTTCGATATCAAGAAACTTTAGACATGAAACAAATGAATTGGTCACTCTTCATCTTCTCTTGTTTCTTTTTCTTATTATTAGTTTTCGCATTCATAACAACTGGAGCATATGTGACGATACATATGTTTGTTTCTTGCCCTAAGCAACAGGATTACGTACTACTAATTTAACACTACATTTAATGCGAACCTAACATATATCACATAAAATGTGCAAGACTACAATGTTAGAAAAGGAAAAATATAAAATAGAAAAATAGAATTCAATTAACTGGTTGAACAAAAGACTATTCACAACGAGAATTGTAACAAACATAAATAATAATAATAATAATAAAAAAATTACCTACAAAGATGATTCACAAATGTGAAGAAATTCAGGACCTTTAACCCATCAATCCAAGCAATTCACTGCAAGTATCAAAGAAATCAAGACATGGGTCATTTTGTTCTCTACAATGGGTTAAATTCCCTCTAAAGAATTGGTAAGACGGTAACTACCCACATCCGAGTAACCAAAATCTTCAAAACTCACAATAAACCCTAAAACAGGGGGTCATTACAGCAATCTCAGTAAGTAGTTGGATTACGTTTTAATTTTTCATGCTTTTTGGTCAAACAAATTAATGGTGTGCCCAACAATACTACAACTATGTAGGAAAGGTATGAAGAGAGACTATTTAACTTCAACAAAACTCATGGCAAAAATGTAAATGTTCACATCTATAAGGACAAACTACAAAGCATCTTCATAATGAACATTGCCAAAACAAACTACTCATCCTGACACCATATCTAAACTACATAATAAAATAGGAGGATTGGAGAGTCACATTCAGCAATATAAAAAAATATTTTTGTGTACATCCCAAAGATTTCTAGAAAAATTAACAAAAAATCGTCATATGAATACATGGAGAGCACAACTGAAGGCAGAAAGGTAGCAGGCATAAATTAGAAAAGCACTCAAGAAAAGCAAGGAGGAGGCTATGAAAAAACCTTTTAGTGTTAAAAGCTTCCAATAGAATTTGGTTTCAAACCCTCTACACTATCACTCTCTGTGGGATCTGAAAAATCAATAGAATGCTACACAAAGAAAAAGAAAAAAAAATTGGATAAAAAAATCATTCGTGGGTGAATCTTAGTCTTTCTTCGACATCAAATCATCCAACTTCTTCCCTTTTGGGTGTGTGTGGGTGATTGGGTGTGGGTGCGTGTGTGGTGGGTCTGTGTTGGGTGTGTGTGTGTGATGGGTCTGGGTTTGTTTGTGTGTGTGCGATTTGTGTGTAGATGAGTGGGTGATGAATGTGTAGAAGATGACAGAGAAGAGGCGGGGGATAGGATGGGTGTGTGTGTGTGTGAGAGAGAGAGAGATGAGGCATACCTGGGGGTGGTGGTGTTGCTAACTTTGGCGGCTGTGGTGGTAAGAAGAAACAGAGGGAGCGAGAGAGAGAGAGAGAGAGAGAGAGAGAGAGAGAGAGAGGGCCTCTAAAGAAGGATTGGGGCTGTGATGGTGTTGTTGAATTCGGCGATGGTGGTGTTGTTGAATTCGGCGGTGGTGGTGGTGTTATTGGTAAGAAGAAACAGAGGAAGAGAAATAAAGAGAGGGAGAGATAGTGAGATTTGGCCTTTGAAGAAGGCTTGTCTGACAGAAGGGTTGGGAAAAAAAATGATGTCCAAGGCCCCTTTTACTGTTGTACCGAGAAAAAGAAGTGATTGAGGCCATTGACAGATGATGTGATTGAGTTGATCAAAATTTTAAAAATAATTATGGGTGAAAAATGATAAATTTGGAGGAAAATTAGAGAATTTGGAACCGTTGGATGAAATGATTTGTGACCATTAGATGTTGAAGCCGTCATGTTTTAGATTATATATATATACATATATATATATATATATACAGAGAGAAAAACATGGTGATGAGCTTGGTTTCACGATTCGGAGAGAATTGGGGAGAAATTGCAGAAGAATTAGGAAAAAATTTCTTTGTATACTGTAAGGAAAATTGTGTGTGTATACTACAAGGACCATTGCAGAAGAATTGGGAAAAATTCCGTTTTATTGCACCGAAAATTCTATGTGTGCGTGTATATATATATAGCTCACCACCATGTTTTTATGTGTATACTGCAAGGACCGTTGTTTTTGGGGCTTCTTTTCAATTTGGGAAGACATTTGCTGGGAATTGATTTAAAGCCACAGTTGAGGATTGTAAGTATGTGTGTGTGTGTGAGATAGAGGAGGAAGAGGTGGTGGTGGTAATGGTGTGGAGGCAGCAATGGGGATACAACCTAGGTTAGGGTAGTGAAGGGAATGAAGGAAAAAGATGATTAGGATATATGAGGGTTAAAAATGTCTTTTTAATAAAATTGTTGTCACACCTGTTCAAATGTTAAGGGGTTTCAGTGTAATTTTTAAAATGTAAAAGAGTGTACATGTAATAAAACTAAATTTCAGGAAATATGAGTGTAATTTACCCAAAACAGAATGATTGCACGAAGATGACAATAATTGTTTGGTTCCTCGGGAAAAACCAAAGCATGGCAGGCAGATAAACCATTAATGTTTTAACAACATGGATGCTGTTCCAAAAAAAATGACATTGGTTCGTACTAAAGTGATTTTATTTTATTAAATAGAAGACGTGGTTTTAAAAAAATAGTTACTCAGATGTAGAGTGGAGGATTTAGAATCGTCTCCCTCTCATTTTTTTTCTTCCGCATTAGGATGAAATTATCATCACCAGTCTTATATCGAGCAATGCTATTAAAATCTAATTTATTATATTTTTTGCATTAATTATGGGTCTCATCAAATATTGAATTTTTATGTTGATCTAATAGTTTTAATAAAGTCACATTATTAGGTTAATAAATTAGGTTAAATTTTGAAATCTAAATAACATTACTCATTATATGTACACATATGAATGACGAAATACATGAAATTTATAATATCTCTTCTTTAAAAATTATTTATTAATGTGTTAAATTGATATTTTATACAAAATTAAACATAAAATAGATAATAAGAATGATGAAAAATCCAAATGCAAAATAGTTATCAAAAAGTTTAAAGTAGTTACGTAGGTCACATATTGGAACACTACACATTTATTATTTGCGCTAAAATGTGAATTCAAATTATCACTTAATCGTTTGAATACATAAAAACAACCCAATTTCCTTTTTAACCACCTATATCTCTCTTCACATAGATAATTGTGTGTACGAGACATCTAATTATTGTGAAAATAGAAAAATGAGTTTGATGTTCACTCTTGAAATACTTATTTAATGGTGACATTCATAACTCACTCTTAACTGTCCATAATGACCTGAGCAATGCTTTTCAGATTAGGTCCAATAAAAATTTCCTATGACTTTTCCCCTCTCTCTTCGTACTCTCATATATCTCCCTCAAAATCTAAATTTTTTTTAACAGTCCCTCTACTATAATATTGACAAGACACATGGTGAGAGGAACGGATATCGTTGAAATATACAATTACCTCAAAACATTGACTATATACGATGAATAACAAGCATTTTTTCCCACGAAGAACAGATACTTCGTTAAGGTTGATGTATTGTATTGAATATGATATTTATCGGATACTCAAAAATATGTATCGAATACACCTCCTATGTATCTGATAATAATTAAATATTAGGATATTTTACAAATACTTTTGTATTCAAGCGACATATATAATTTTTGAGTTGAATTTTTAACATTTCCTTTCAAATTTACGTATATCATAAAATACATTAACAAAAATTCATATTACTTCAAAGACACATGAGTATTTTTTAAATATTATTTACAATTACATGTCCAAAGAGTATAAAATAAATCTACTACGTTATAATTTGAGCAAAAATTATTTCTAAATAAACCTGACTCGAAAAATATAAATTTTGATTCTTTTAGTTAATCATTTCACTTTGTGAATATATCATAAAGATACGATATATACTTTCTTGAAACTAAAAGGAGTTACTAATTTTTCTTATTGTATTAAAAAATTACCAAAATATATAAGTATTAAGTTAGTTTAAAATAATAAAAATATTAAATATATTTTATTATAATCGTATCTTGACCGTACCCGTATATTACTTTTTAAAATTTTATCGTATCATCGTATCTGTATCGTATCGTATCTCGCATTAATATCCGTGTTTCATCAAACTTTGTCAACACCAGTTATAAATATTGCACTATATATTGATCTTATCTTCTGCCTTCTAGATATTGAT